ATATAGCTGACATGAACGCCAAGTGGCCTACTTGGCACTACCGGCACTGACGTGGATAACTTTTAATAATATTTATTATTTTTTCAATTTTTTATTATTTTTCTGATTTTTTTCCTTCTTTTCTTTTTTATTTCCTTTCTTCCACCTTTGGCTGGTGACCGGCCACTGGCCAACCCCCGCTTGGGCAAGGGCATGCCCCGGCAAGGACTCCCCTCACCAAATTTGGCGAAGCCGGCACTCACCCAAGCCACGGTGGCCTCGCCGAGCATCGCCTAGGGCTCGTCCTTGCCAGTTGAGGGTAGGCCTCGCCAAATCTAGCCTGGTGAGGCTGACCCTTGCCAGGGCATGCCCTCGCCTAGGCGAGGGTCAGTTGGGCGTCACCTGTGGCGAGCGAGGCCAGGAAACCAACCATGGCCGGTGGCTAGTGGTCGATCATCGGCCAAAGGTAGAAAAAAGGAAGAAAAAAAAAGAAAAGAAGGAAAAAAAGAAAAAATACTTTAAAAAATCGAAAAAAATTTAAAATATTATTAAAAAAATTTCATGTCAACACCGGTGGTGCCACGTAAGCCGGCTAACATCCACGTCAGTAATATCCAGCTAAAATTAGCCAGAATGACTAAATTGACACAAAAACAAAAGGTTTATTACTATATTAGCACCAAAATAAGGTTTAGGATTAAATTAGTACGAATGTAAAAGGTTTATGACTTTTCTGACGCTTTTCCCGCTCAATAACTAACTATGGTCACGCTTAATACCCGTGACAAAGGCAACCAAGTTTCCCCCTTTTAGCTAGGTCTCCACCTATATCAACCGGTGATTTGACCCAAAAGGACTTCATGTTAATAGTATGCATACTTACCCCCCAATGAGTTCTAATCATAGTAACATAAGCATAATCCACTAACCTCATTCTCCAATAACCGACAATCAAAACCAAAATCCATGTTAAAACTCAGGTTCACTAACAAAATCATACAACTTTTCAAAATTCAAAATATCAGATAACATACCTTTCATAAACCAAAATATATATTCTGTCATAACTCAGCTCATCAATCAAAATATTTTTCATACAAACATATCTCAAAGTATTTGAGAATTCATTTCATAAACTAGATTCACAAAGCAGTATATTTATAGAACCTTTCATAACAAGTTTCCTATAACGTTTCTCAAACCATTCATATATACTAAAAGCAGACTAAAAGCAGCAATTGCTTGATCTAGACTTTTATGCAACCACAATGTCATTTCATAACTCATAATATATCTAATACATATTGCTTTCGAAATATAAGTTTACAAACTCGAAGAAAAGATAGCACGACTCACTTGGAAAAATCGAAAACCAACCTACAAAGGTTACTTGAACCACCAAACTCATATTCCTATCAATTTATCGAAAAACGATATCAAACTCCAAGTAAAATAGTACTCTAACAAATGACTCGATTAAACTATGTTTATTTGTCGACCAATCGACTCATACGCACTAACAAGTAAACTCATTCATTGCGAACATTCATCTTTGTCACACGAAACTTCAAAAATCCGTTTCTATCAAATCATAATTCAAAATCGATTTTCGTTAGACCCCACGGCTCCACAACACCCTAAACTATCATCTCCACATAATTCACAGCTTAACAACTCCTAAATTGAACCCCACAATTTAAAATTCACATAACTCCGAATTTATGACTTAGGGCGTGTTTGCTTCACGGAAAATTAATAATTTAAAGCAATATCTTGTATCGCTTATAAAAATGAACGAACGGAATAAAATTTCATTGTCTACGAAAATATTTAGATATAAAATGTTGTCAATAGTGAACATTTTTCACTAACTAATTAAATAAAACGGTACAAGTGATTATTTTTAGGAAAATATTTTTCAAATTATTCATTTTTCGAGAAACAAACAGAACTTTAACTAGAAAAGTTACTCCAATTAGATTAACGAGTTCGATTACTTACCGAGCATTGCAAAATGGAGTTAATTCGACTTGTCGAGATGTCCGAAATGTGTACGCGCGAAAATTTCTGTCACTTTTCTTCTTTTTCTCCTTTCCTATTCACGAACGAGCTCGCTTTTCTCTTTTGTCCGCTGCCTTCAATGACTTCACGGGTATCATCTGGGAAGGAAACTGAAGGTGCGCTGAGTTGGCTATTGAAGACATTGGCTTGGGCTTTGTTGGGCCCATCTATTACAAGTTTGCCCCAAGAATCAAGTTCCAGAACTCTGATATCAATAGGCTGATGTTGAGCTTGTAAAGATGAACAGTCAAACTCAATCTTCAAGAAGTCGTTGATAAGATTTGTTGTTCAAATGGTTTCATAGAAAAGTGAAGAGACATTACTCAGCTTTACCGTGAAATAAGGTAATTTGGGGTCTCTAGTTTAGCCTACGATTATGCCGTGATCATCCATTAATTGAAAACTTTTCTAAAGTTCCTAACGCATAAGCTAGAAGACATCAAATAGCAGCTAAGTTACATCAATTCGAGTGGCTCGTGTACTTGTTCGTGTGTGTTCAATCGAAGGCATCTTCAGTGCATCATCAAAGACTTAGAATCTATTCCACTGCGTGATTGTATTGTAACTGCGTCTTTTGCCTACGTTCTCTCGTTTGTCTCTCAGCTCCCAGCTTAATATATAGTACGAGTTAGGCTTCACAGTAAGCATGGATTCGAGGACATCAGAAATGAAAGAGTAACTACATTATAGTTGAAACAAAAGGAGAATTAACCCTAGATTTGTCGAGTTGGTTAAAACTCAACACCATATGTCAGGGGGAAAATTGTCCAAAAAGTCCTAAACCTATTGTACTTTGGTCAATTCAGTCTTAAACCTTTCAATTTTGTTAATTGAGTCATAAACATATTCAAGTTTTGCCAAATTAAGTCCATTTGGCCAATTTTAGCTAGAAATTACTAATGTGGACGCCGGTCGTTCTACATAGCACGATCGGCGCTGTGTATAATTTTTATATTTTTTTCTTTCTTTCTTTTTATTTTTTCTTCCAAGCCCGACAAGGGTCAGCTGGACCTTGTCAAACTTGGTAGGAAAAAAAAAGGTAAAAAAAGAAAATGAAAAAAGAAAAAAAATTCAAAATTCAAACATTATAAAAAAAAAATTTATCTACATAAATGCCAACCGTCCTACGTGGCACTACCAACAAAATTGAAAAGTTTATTTATGACTAAATTAGCCAAAGTACAATATATTTATGACTTTTTTGACAATTTTCCCAAGCGTAGGGTGATCGTTCAATGGCAATAGGACTTAGGACAGCTCTAAGGCTCGAATCCAATGGAGATTTGTCGAGTAGATCCAAATTCTCTGTATTCCATTTAAGAAAAAGAAGTGCAAAGAAAAATTATTCATTGAAACAATTTGTTTCTTTTTTCATCCGGAAGAGATCTTTTTGGTCCAGACAAAGCAGCAGCAGAAACACAACAGTGCGAAACCTCCACAACGAAAGCACGCTCACTTGTCTTCAAAACAACAAATGACGCTTTCTCCGGTCCCCGCCCGTGCAGTTCAAATGGACAACATATCACTGAAACGCCCAATTATGTCAGAAACCCACGCCACTTGATCCTGTTTTCAACTGATTCCCTTCTTAGACAGAGGTGGGCATCGCCACTAGCGAGTGCTCCTGACATGTTTCTTCTTTCCGTTTGACCCATTATTTCACAGAGAAATTCTTGCGCGCCCCCGAAGCACGTGGGCTCAAGTGATCCGAGCCTTTAGATCATGTGGGTCTCGCACACGACCCGTGTCATTAGACAGTTCAGATCAAATAGGTTTACCAGTAAACATCAGTCTTCAAGATTGTAAACCTTAAACATGAAGTTGTTGGTGTTGACAACAAACTTTAGTGCTAGTTGCTCTTCATTCTAGAATAATAATAGACAGATTGAGATTCACTTATGAAATTGATTTATTGAGTGACGTGACAAATGCATATCTGATGATTGGTTTCTACACTTGTTTGACTTTTACACAATTAGGTCTTTAAACTAGTTTATGCAGTTTAGTACTCTAACTAACATCAGTTTTGCAATTGAGTCCCATCGTAATTAACACACTTAATTACGCAGACCAGATTGCTAACATGTCAATGAAAAATGACAAAGATCTTAATTTATTATAAATAAATAAAAACGAACAATTTTTGTGAAAAAGAGAAAAGGTGAAAGCTTCATAATAAAAGATTAATTTTTGTATCATTAAAATTCTTGCTAATAGGCTAAGAGTGGTTTTGTCTAGCTTTGTTAGCTTGAATCGATGTGCTTTGTTACCTCCATGTGCTGCTGGGTCATGAGGTGACAAGTTCTCCTGAACAGTTCATCGACTGGACCAAGGCTTGTATTACTTCTCCTCCCTTCTATGTGGTTATAAATTGTAGTTTGGAGGATTATTTTCATGGTGGCAAAGGCTTGAGGCAAGGAGGAGATCCAGTTTCTCCTTATATCTTTGTTGTGGTTATTGAAGTGCTCCCTCGGATGATAAACAAAGCTGCTGAGCAAGGTAAGTTTCCATTCCATACGATTTGTTCTAAAAATCAAGTTATCAACTTTGTGTTTTGCTAATGATATCTTGATTCTTACTAACGGAAGTGCAGGGGCTCCAAGGAAAATCGTCAATATATTTGATAAGTTCTGTAAAATGTTTGGACTTAGACTTCACCCACAAAAGACAGGGTTTTATACTTCTGGTATTTCAAGTGATTCCCCGGAAGAGTTGGTCCATCTTAGTGGTTTTAAAGTTGAGGTTCTACCTGTGAGGTACTTGGGTCTTCCTGAGTCTCAGGCAGACTCACCGGAAAGGATTGTAAACAGACCTAGACGATTTTGAGTAGAGTGAAAGGTTGGAGTGTTGAAAGGCTATCATTTGCTCGTGCACGTCAGAAGTACATCAAGCGGGCGTGATAAACAGTAAAGTAAAGCAGTGACAGCATCCGTTTTCCAGGTTACAAGTGTAAAGTAAGATTAGGGTCCAATCATCAATTTAATCCATATCACAAAAACTTCGACATGGTGATATATAATGAGCCCAATAAATGCAAGTAAAGAATGGACTTACGCGGGCTTTATTTGCAAGAATATTGAGGTGCTTGCCACTCTGAGGACAAGAAATAGTCAACAAAGGCAACAAAAACTCTCTTGCCAACCAAAATTCCTGAAAACAAGATATTCTACCTATTCCTCACATAGCACAACAGGATTTTACTAAGGCTTATGCAGCCGCAGGGGCAACAGTGCCTTTAGACTTTGAACAAAAGAGATCCAAAACATCCGCATGGTTACGTATGTGTCTCGGGCACTTAGAAAGAAGCTCTTGTGCTTCATTATGCCTCCTAACCTTGAAGAAGGCTTCGAACATTTGGAGAAACACAGATGTAGATGGGAATTTTTTCGAGGTCATTGCCTTTAGAAAAGCAAGAGCATCGTCTTTGCTTCCTTTCTTTGATATGTGCTGGATAAAAGGATGAAGGAAAGGTGGGTATCCATGTTCCTTCATCAAACTCAAAAGTGTCAATGCATCTTCAAATCCTCCTTGAGCCAGCAATTTCTTTATCAAAAGTTTGCACGTAGTATGCCAAGGCTTCAACTCATTGTTGGATGCACAATCTTTCAAAATTCGGCAAGCATCAAATGCTCTGTTCTTATCGCAATATGCATTAACCAGTGAATCAAGAGCGCGGCTTGCAGAAGAACCTGCGTCCTTCTCAACCATCTCATGGAAATAATCAGAAACCTTTTCAAGATCTCCCGAAACACAAAGCCCTTCTATTAGCGATGCAGTGGTCCTGAAATCAGAAGTAAGCCCAGATGATTCTAGTGTATCCATGAATTTACTCGCCTCATCCTTTTTACCAGTACTACTAAGCCGGAACGCAATTTTGCTCCGGAGATTGCCACCAGGTAAGAACCCGCACTCCTGCATTACTTTCAAAACCCTGTCGAACTCCCCCAATCTTCCGACACTGTCTAAAGACTTCAAAACTGTATAAAGCATGGAGTCTGTCAGCGTATTCCCTTTCTCTGTATAAACCTTCACAACTCTAGAAAAAAGACCCATATCAAAGTCCTTGCTGACAGCTATTTTCCTCAATAGGAATGTACATTCCTGCGCCGAAGGCTTATCGACACCACTCATTGCAAACTCATATAAATAGACTGCATCCTTGATCATCTTCCTCTTACAAAAGCGACCCAATACCTTGACGTAAGTCTCCCTTTCCATTTCATACCCGACAACCTTCATTTCATCAACCAGCTTCCAAAATCTATCGATACAATCTTCTCTCCCTAAGACAATTGCCATGGCATTATACGTCTGCTTATCGTGCTTAAACAAACCACTTTCTTCGACCCACCTGAATAACATCAATGCTTTCATGGGCTCGGTAGCAAGATTTTCCACTACCTTCTTAACCACATCGGTCGTAAACTCGACATCTAACTCCCGCAATTTCTTCTCGACATCTTCGCTCCAAACCTCATTCTTCAATATCCTATAAATCCCGGAGGGATTCTTCTCAACAGAGTTATTAACCGATCCAGATGCGAAAACACCTCTCAGCTTCTCCGCATCACTCTCTCTCCCCTCTTTCTCAAACGTCTCCAACACTTTATCTCTAACGTATCCCGACATGCCATAACCCCGTTTCTTCATAGTCTCATACAAATCCCAGAATTCAGAGATAAAGCCATTCACACCCAATACACCCAGCATCAAATTATACGATTTCGAGCTCAACCTCTCGCTATTGTTCACTGAAACCCAATCGAAAAACTTACCCGCAGCGCGAGGACTAGCGGAGAGGCTCTCCAAGACCTTCAGAACCACGTCATCGCTCACGGCGACATTGTTCCGCACCAGCTTCAGCTCCTTCGCCGCATCCTCCGAGTCCTCGAATTTCGCGAAAGCATCGGCGAGGACCGCGTGATCCGAGTCCTTCACTTCGACGGCCGGCTCCGACGTGAAGGTCCTGGCTGCGAAGGAGCTACTGGGTCTCGCCAAGCTCGCGATTTGGGCACCGAACGGGAGTCCCGGAGGCGAGTTACGAAGAGGGTCGGTGCGGAAAAGCGAAGCGAAGCGACGGAGCGAGTGGGGACTCGGGTTGGAGAGCGAGGAAGGGTGGTGCGGAGAGTGCCGTGGGACGTTCGATCTTGAACGGAGGTGGGCTCGGGAGAGGAGCGAACGCCATGAATGTCTCATTTCTGCGCGATCTTTGCGATGCGATTGCCGCGAGGGTTCTTGTGAAATGGAGGAGGAGGAGGAGCGGTCGAAGACCAGCGTGGGTGCGGGCGATGGCGAGACGAGGGAGGGGCGGCGGCGGCTTAGGGTTTTAGAACGGCACTAACGCTAAACAGTCATTATTTGTGGATTCCGAGATTGGGAGTTCGAATCTCAGTAGCTGCAATTGTAAAGGAGGGACCCTAAGAAAGTAAACTTGCATGCAATAATCTAAGACTCAATTTGCTTCGCGAAAAATAGATAATTTGATCAAAAAAATTTCCTAAAAACAATCTTTTATGTCTCGCTTAAAATAATTAATCATGAAAAATATTTTCATTGTCAATAACAATTTATGTTTAAGTATTTTCGCATACGATGAAAATATTTTTCGTTCTTCGTTTTTGTTAACAATACAAACAATCACATTTTGGGAAAATATTTTCCAAATCATTCATTTTTCATGCTATGTATTGTGGGTGATTGGAGATTTTTTTTGGCTCATGCTTTTTCCACCTCTTTTTTGACTTTTAACCACTCCTATCACCTTAAATTGATCACACTATCTCTTGTAGATCCCAGATTTAAGATTAATTCTTACCTTTTTTCTCCTCTTTTTTTTGATATTCTGATGCATTTATGTATTTGTAAATGGTTTGAATGGATTGTCTCGTAATGTAATTACAATTGTCATAATTTTTTTTGTCAACAGCTAATTATTTCATGTAATCAAAGCAAAAATTAATATTCCATATAATGTTTTGAGAAGCATTTTCTTTTGAATTTGCACGATAATAATAAATGTTATAATTTTTCATGTAGTTAATTTTTTTCATATTTTTAAATTCTTTGAAATATCTTTTAAAAAAACATGCAGTGATGGCATGAAAAATAAATAAAATTTGGAATATAAGATTTACCGAATAAAACAAAAGTTGAGCAATTAAAGTAGGCGGATTATGACGTAATCATACATATTAAAGTTATAACTAAACCAATTGCATTCATTAAAATTAGTTAATTATTCTTTTCACTTTTATTTGTACTCTGTTTATTATTAGAATAATGGTTTCCAGTAATAAAAAAAAGAACTATACCACTTATTAACACTAAAACTTGTTAATTATCTGCCATATAAACTATTTTTTGGAAAGAGAGACACCAATTTCGTCCTAGACGGCAGAAAAAAAATAAAAAAGAAGAAGAAAGGTAAGAAATAATCTTAGATCCAGAATAATCCCCGCATTTGACCTTAATCTTTGTTGTTTGAGTTGAGCATGGTAGATTCTTCTTTTAGTAATTTTAAACCAAAGAAAACGAAGAAAAAAAGGTAAAAAATAATCTTAAATCAAGAGTGAACCCACAAGAGATAATTTGGTCAATTCAAGGTCGTAACGGGTGTCAGAAGTCAAAAAGGGATGGAAAAGATGTGAGCCATTTTTTTTTTACTTTTTGCTGGGGAATAATGTTATTCATCGAGAAAGATCTCTCGTTCTTATTAGATTGTGATTGGATATGCAAATGTTTGGTAAAAAGAAGAATCTTCTCATTTGAGACTAATCCAAAATGAAAAGTGTTCAACTGGAGCATGAAAACGAATGAATTGGTCCTAATTACTCTTTGGAGTGGAAGAAGCAGGGAAATTCTCGAACGAGGAAAAGGACCCAATTCGATCCCCCGATTGGATCGGGAGCAAATGCCTACGAAAAGATCACTTGGATATAAGAAAGAGTCACTTGGATTTTTCCATGGTTTGTTTATCCCTTATCCCCAAAATCCTATTTGTTGATATAGACAGTATAGGGGAAAAGTGTCAGAAAAGTTATAAACATATTGCATTGATGCCAAAGTACTCATAAATCCTTTTTATGGTGTCAATTCAGTCATAAACTATTTATTTTTGTGCCAATTCAATTATTCCGACTGATTATGGCCGGATATTACTAACATGGATGCCGGCTAGACTACATAGCACCGCCGGTAATATTTTTTCGAATTTTTTTCTTTTATTTTTTTTCCTTTCTTGCTTTTTCTTTTTTTTTTCTTTCCTTTCTTCTTCCTCTAGCCGATCGCCAGCCTCTGGCGAGGCTCGCCCTTGCCAACGACAACGAAGGCAAGACCTCACAACCTCTGGCGAGGGCTCGAGTCTCACCAGCCCAATGCGAGGCTACCCTCACGGCTTTCTGGTGAGGTTGAAGGCCGCGACCTCACGGCCTCTGGCTCACCAAAGGTTGGACAAGGTCACAGCCAACCAGCGAGGTCGAAGTCCGCGACCTCGCCAGATCTAGTGAAGTCGAGCCTCGCTTGTGGCCGACGTGGTTACCTTGGTGGCCCTGGCCTTTGGTTGGACGCCGAGGTTTGACGACCAACTAGTGGAAGAAGAAAAGGAAGGAAAAAAAAAAAGAAAGAAAGAAAATTTAAAAATAAATAAATAATTCGAACAATATTAAAATATTATTAAAAGTTGTTCACATCAGCGCCAGCGGTGCCACGTAAGCCAACCGTCATCTACATCAGAAATATCCAACCAAAATTAGACGGAAGGACTGAATTAACACTATATTAAAAGCACTAATGTAATAAGTTTAAAACTTTTCCGACACTTTTCCCGATAATATAGACTTTATGCATATACATTCATGAAAATTACTTACTATCCCCGAGTAAAAGGAGGCAAAATGGGTCATGGATCCATATCTTAACTCGTACATAAAATATAAATTGAACTAGGTTTGATAGAGCAAAGCCAAGCTAATGACGTCTTCTAGTGGATCCGAAAAGAACCCACTTTCGATCCATCCATTGAAAACGGTAAAAAGGCGGAGAGCCTCCGCTCAACTCCGAATGCATTTTAATGGAGCACTCGTGCAGAGACGTTCTTTCGATTCGAGTCTTTAAATTGTAAACAAACAAGAAAAAAGGGTCTATAAATAAACAAAAGTGATTCAATTTAACACGCGATGGACGTTGTTCCACAATGTTCTTGTTTTGACATTTTCAGTTTTTTTGTTATAACTCATAGTTTATTCACTCGCAACTTTTATTTTGTAATATCGATACCAAAAGTAAAAGTTAAGACAATGAAGACGCTTATACAATTCACAGGCTCCGCAGGCATTCCGGGATCTCCTTCTTTGACTTCTTAAACTTCTCAAAGCCGGCGAAATGATTTTCGAGATACACGAAGATGACTTTGGTGGCGATGCGGAGGACTCCTCTTCTTCAAGTTCTGTCCAGGAACCACCCGTGTTCGACTAAATGTCAGTTGATTGGCTAGCAAGAGCTCTCGAAACTCGAAGGCACCAATCGCCCCCATTCAAGTCAACGTTCCAGACTTCGAAGGCTTGCCAAGTGCAGAAGAGCATTGTGACAGGCTTCCATTGAAGCTTTCTTTGATTATTAAGATCTCCCTAATGCGAGGAAAGTCCAGTTCATTGCTCCAAACTGAAAGGCCATGCTCTAATCAGGTGGCAACAATACCAGAGTAGACAGAGAAGGGGAATTCCAAGGTCTCTACTTGGGCTGAAATGAAGCTATGGTTAGATGAGAAGTTCTTTCCTCTTGATTATAAGCGAACTTCGCTTCAAATGCTTCACGAGTTGAAGCACCGGAATGATCAATCGATTTCCAACTGCACTGAGGATATTTACAAGTTGCCGAACTTGATAAGCTTAAACAAAGGTGATGATCAAGTTGTGACTCAGCCTCGCAAGTAGCCTTAAGCAAAGCCTAGAGGAGAGAACCCATTGTGCATTTCTCACATTCAAGTGACATACTTGATTTGACAAGGAGAAAATCACCAAAAACGCGAAAGACGCCATTCGAGGTTTATTCTAAACACTCATCTTCTTCTCATTGAGAATCGGTGTATATATATGTAATTGCAAAGTTTGACTACATCTTCCTATGCTACAACTTACTAGACAATTAAATAATACGACTCGCTAAGCAAGTTTGCAGCCAACAAAGCATAACAGACAAGAGTTTCGCAATTCCACTGCCAACTGCTATTAGTAACCGGATACATATCAGCCTTGACTTGCTGACTTGGATACCGCATCGTGAGGAGTTGGACGCCACTTCATGCCCCTGCATCAGTTTGTAATGGGGAGTGTGTACTTCAGGGTCTCCCTTGTCGATAGGGTCTCGGAATCTCTTTGCCCCCAATAACAAACTATCTTGGCCTTTCAAATTTGCCTCCAAATCAGATAGAGAGTGTCGTCTGAGTACCTGCACTAAGAAGCTGGTATGCCGATTTCACTGATAAATCTCCAGACTTACAAGGCCACCATACCACATTTCTGGCGACCATCAACTCATAATCAGCAGGTAAACATTCTGCTCCAACGAGTACATGGTATGCACAGCCCAACAAAAGTATCAATTTTACAAGAACTTATCTATTCTTAAGTACGTAGTTGAACGACACGTATAAATGACCAAGCATTCATCATTTAAGGGAGAAACAACCACGACCAGCGAAGTTTCTGGTCATGTTCTTCACATTCAAGACAAAAAATGTAACGATTCCATGATGAATCGATATTGATCCCCCGTGATTCCTTCCCACATAAGTGAACATGCCTGTGGGACCAAAACATCGTCCAAATGAGACTAGAATCATCACGTTTCATATTCAGAGAGAGGTGGCCAGCAAACATTCAATATGTACACGACATGAATCGAGCATGGCAAAGGCAAGGAATTTATGTTATTTGAGTACAATGAATAGCTACACTTTATAGGTATAGCTCAAGCCACCAACAAACGAGACCAAACACCCATGATTCCAAGCTCAAATGAGGCTAGACAGCAGGCACTTAAAAGATAATTATCTCATTCGAATCACCAAAATATGACGAATCCATGAAAAATGGACGAGGACCTCACGGCTAGTATATTTCTCCTTTCTTTATGCACAAACTCAAGACTTCATCAATTCACAGCATGACACCAATTGCATCAACATATGGCTTATACCAAAAAATATATATGTATCCGCTCACAATGGAAAGGATCTCACAACTGCATATCCAGATTAGCGAGAAGCCAAAGTATCCTAAACAGTGAAATCCACTCAGTTTTGTTTGAACTTGGTAAATGACACGTTTAAATTCAGTCATGTTTCAAACAAGTAATTCTCAACCATATCCAGAGATCAACCCATAAACATATCCATCTATGATAGGAAGGTTAACGGAAATGGCCTGAAATCAAGGTCAACAACACGTATACAAGAGAGTAAACACAAACTGAGTTGACAAAGTACATATGGAAGCCTCTGTTATGGATTAAAATAACTCGAATCTAAATGACGTGAATGAATCAAACATATAGAGAATAATCAGAGTCTGCGAAAAACTTCGAGACATATAGGCACAGGCAAAGCTTCTCTAATATGTACACAATCTTGTTCAGGCATTTTAACAAACACATTGTCATCAATTCGAACAAAAGATATAGATGTAATGTTAACGCGATATTCTGATCCAAACTATCATCGCATCATCAGAGCAAACTCAAATCATTAATGGAACCTCAGACGTGATTGATTTTCACAAAGACAATATCCAAGACTCGCGGCTTCTGCTTCGCGTGGAAACTGACTGAAGACAGAGTATATGGCCTTACCTTAGTGCTATTGAACATCTAGCCTCAAACGGTGAGCAAGTATGAGAGTGGATATCCTTGGTATGGGCCGGAAGAGTATGGGACCGAGTTAAAGCTTTGTTATTGTAATTTTTAATTTATTTTTATATTTCTATCTCTCTCTTTTCTTTTTATATTTGTTTGCGTAATTTGTCGGCAAAAATCAGGTGTCAACAACTAGCAATAGACTCTTGGCGAGAAGAGGTCCTGGATTTCGTCTGTCCCATTCTCGCGTTTCAAGGATGATATGATCACCCACCCTAAAAAGTAGCATCGAAATGGCCCTGGATCTTTTGTAATGGAATGTGGTGTGTACTGCATAGACCCTACGATAGATGAGATGATGCCAAACCGGTGTGACTCTTCCTATCACTTCACTTCGTTCGATATAGCGTGTTTCTTGTGGAAGCTCTGGCTTTCCTAGTTAATGATGTTCAGTTCCAGACCGAATGCTGTAGGAACGTCTCTCGCGTTAAGTATTTTCCCTCCAGAACCTTAAACTCATAGCATGCCCCTGTTTTTAAGCAATCGCCAGCCAGAATTGGTGGAAAGAGCCATGTTGAAGTGTTCGGGAGTTCAGACACTCCGACCAGATGACGAAAAGGTAGGGGAAAGCGGGTCATCTTGTCTGATCTCGCGCGATGGCTCGAAGCTCCCGGTCGCCTTACCGTGAAGGAGCAAGGTATAGTGCACAGTGGAAATGCAGTGTTCATAATTCTGCAGAAAGATCAAGGCGGAGACCCTCGGCTACAAGGACAGTTACACGCTCGTAAGCTTTCAATATATCAAATTAAGAAACCAAATAAAATCAAATTAAGTTTATTTTCCAACTTGTCAGACTGTCCAGATAATCATGTCATTGTTCTTAAGTTCATGTAGTATCTACAGTTTAGTATCTTCTTGGGCAAGAGAGACTTGAAACAAGCCGTGAAACTTGCCCGCTTCATAGTAGTGTTGTGCTACACAGACCGCCCAAACCGGAAACCTCCTGGACCGGACACAACCGCCGGTTTGATCCGATTCCGGAAGTGTCGGTCCAGTTTCCGATTTCTAAAAGTGGAACCGGTGTCCAGACGATCCAGTTCCCTATTCCTGATCTTAGGACCAACTAGTCCAGTCTCCAGTTCTCAATTTTGGAAATCAATTCGGACCGGGAACCGATCACCCCTACTTCATAGTTCTGCTTTAAAGTTGAAAGCACTTCCAAATTAACTATTCTGCATTTCCATGGTAACTCGTTTAAATTAAAAAAATATATTTAATTTCAATGTCTAGCCTAAATTCTGCATTTCCGTCCGACCACTTACGTTTGATACGGACGCTTCGTGGAGTAGATCACTTCCTGCGAGACGAAAATGCACTTATCACCAAGGCCGAACAGTTGCTTATGGGCTTCAAGAACCCGAAATTGGCCCACTGTAGCAGAGAAGCCGACAAGGTTGCAAACTGGATTGCCAAAGCCAAAGGAACATGGGGTTAATTCCAAAAAAAAGCACCAACTTTAGGTCGAGGGACAATTATGGCCCGAACTTTTTTTTGTTCCATGAAAAAGCATCAACTTTAGGTCGAGGGACAATTATGGCCCGAACTTTTTTTTGTTCCATAAAAAAGCATCAACTTTAGGTCGAGGGACAATTATGGCCCGAACTTTTTTTTGTCCCGTAAAAAAGCACAAACTTTAGGTCGAGGGACAATTCTGGCCCGAACTTTTTTTTGTCTCGTAAAAAAGCATCAACTTTCACTTAAATCCCAAATCTGGCCCTTATTGACTTAAAACCATTGATTTTCCAATTTGACTATTCCACCTTAGCAATAAATCCACGTGACTTGCTGACTGGATTTAAAGCATTATTCATTGTCTTATTCTCTGAACCACAGCTTGAAGAATAACGGTGAAACTGTTCGTCTCTTTCACTTCACCGGCAAGTAAAAAATATCTGCAGATTGAATCTTTCTGGCCAAACTTCGACGTTTTGTCGTAATCTGAAGCTGTAGACCACCGTCCGTCGACAGACGCCATGGAAGAGATTCGTCAAGCTCACCACCATAACTTTTTTTCTTAAACAAGGGTAACTTCAGACAGAAAGTCAATGGGAGGCCAAATTTGGGATTTAAATGAAAGTTGGTGCTTTTTTACGAGACAAAAAAAAGTTCGGGCCAGAATTGTCCCTCGACCTAAAGTTGGTGCTTTTTTATGAAACAAAAAAAAGTTCGGGCCAGAATTGTCCCTCGACCTAAAATTGATGCTTTTTTTTTTAATTAACCCAAGGAACATGTCCCTACCTTACAATTGGCTGACCATTCTCCATGAAGCCCTTTTTGGACCTTATTGTGTTCTGAATCTTGTCTTTTGTATCCGAACGCTTTGAGTTAGCATATGACAATCTTTTTCGGACCAAAAAAATAATAATAATGTCTAGCCTAACGAGAGGAATTATTATATGAATACACCCATGCCTTCATCATACTTAAAATAATAATAATAAAATTACATATATCTGAGACATGGTAAGGAAATGCGTAAACCATAAAGGATCGTGGAATCATCTTTGTTAATTTATTTATATAAGTTGCTTCGTAATATATAAAGATTATTCAATCACTTATACATAATTTTCATAAAATAATGTTACAATAAATTTTCAAATTTTTTTTATGCTTAGATTTTCTTTTCTAGTTTGTTTTGGTTATAATTTGCATAACCGCTCTTGCAAAGTACGAAATTACATCGAGCTCTAAGATATTTAGTTTTCCAATTCTATCTGTTTTGAGAGAAAATTGTCCAAAAAGTCGTAAACTTATGTATGGCGGCCAATTTAGTCCTAAACATTCTTAATTATGCATATTTAGTCCTGAACCTTTTGATGATTTACCAATGTAGTCCTTTCGATAAATTTGGATGAGAAATCAATGGCGTGGACGTTGGCTGTCCTACGAGGCATAATCGGCGCTGACATGGACGACTTTTGGAATTTTTTTAAATTTTCTATCGGCGATGGCCAATAGAGGGAAATAGGGAAAAAAGAATAAAGAATAAAGAGAAAGAAAATAAAAATGAAAAAAACTCAATTTGTTTAAAATTGTAAAAAAAATATCCATGTTAGCGCTAGACTTGTTAAACATGTAGGTCGGGTCGAGTTTGGGTCGGGTTATAAATGGTCCAACACAAATTAACCCATTAACCCGTTTATAACCCATTTATTTGTAATGTAAATATCTCGACCCATACCCGACCCGACCCATACCCGACCCATATCCGACCCAACCCATATTACTAAAACACTTCTATATTTAGCTCAATATAAGAAAACTTGTTTCTTATGATTTTTTTTATAAATTATACTACTAAAACATTTTCATACAATACAAAGCTAGAAAACACTTTTTAGAATATTTTTAAAAATTGAGGTTTTGTTTGTTTCGTGAAAAATGCAACATTTTTATAAAATACTTTCCATGATGTCATTTTCCAAGAAAATAAAAAAAAATTCAGTGTTTGGCTGAAACCTGAAAAAGAACTAGAAAATATTTTCCGATGTTTGGTATAAAAAATCTGAATTGATTTTACTTCATGCAATCATTTTAATGATTTTAATATTTTTTTAAATCAAAATTTTAATTATTTTCTTTTTTCTTTTTTCTTTTTTTTTGTTTCCTTTATTTTTGGCCGGTGGCTGACCACGGCGACGGTCGGCGACCGGCCACCGGCGAGGCCGAGGCCTCGCCAGCCTCAGGTGAGCCTTAAGCTCGCCCTATTCCAGCGAGCTGAGCCTTGCTAGCCTCGAGCAAGGCTCCACCACGCCAAATTTGGCGAGCTCGAGTCTCACCAAATCAGCGAGGCCTCGGGCTTGCCGGAATCAGGTGAGCTCGGCCTTGTCGGCCTTTGGTAAGGCTCCAACCTCACCGATCTAAGGTCTTCGTCCTGTCGGAGCTAGCAAGGATCACCTAGAGAGGGGTGAATAGGTGATTTAAAACTCTTTATCAAATTCTTAAAGCGGAAACAAATGATCAAGATTAAAGTCCGAAAGACATTTAGATTCTAAGCAGACTTTATAGACACTATGCTATTGTATAGTATAAAAGATAGAATAAGAGTTTAGAGATAGAGAAACTGCACACAAGAAATTATAATGGTTCAACTTAGATCAAGCCTATGACCATTCTCCCACGCTAATAGCCTACCGGCTGGATTTCACTATATGATAAAAAAGGATTACAAATTCTAAATGATATTACTCGGTGAATGATAAAATTCTCTATCTCACACAATCACTCTTACAAAATATCCCTCAAGATCTCAGTATTTGGCTTAAGAAAGACAAGTAGTAGAATTGGAGTATGCTCAGACTTTGGACTTGTTGATTCTTGATTTCATTCATTACCTTCTGCTTCTCATTAATCTTCTTTTATACTCCTCCACTTCCAAACTAGCCGTTGGACAGTTTTCAGATGATCATCTTCCAATTGATTGAATAGCCGTTGGTTGACAAAATCTGAATTCCACTGAATCTGGTCGCCCATACAATCAAAATCTTGGTTTCCATAAGTGGAGCTTTATCCGTTGTGATATATATACAAGAACTTCTTGAGAAGAAGCTTATTAGGAAAAGCCAATCGCCTTGGAGCTGCTCTGCTTTCTATGTCAACAAGAATGCTGAACTAGAAAGAGGAGTTCCAAGATTGGTAATAAATTACAAACCTTTGAATACAGCTTTAAAATGGATAAGATATCCAATTTCTAATAAAAAAGATTTGTTGAATAGACTTTATAATGCAAATTTTTTTTCAAAATTTGATATGAAATCAAGCTTCTGGCAAATTCAAATTAGCGAAAAGGACAGGTACAAAACGGCTTTTACCGTTCCTTTTGGCCAATATGAATGGAATGTCATGCCTTTTGGATTGAAAAATGCTCCTTCTGAATGCCAATGGATAATGAATGATATTTTTAATCATTGTTCAGATTATATTATAGTTTACATTGATGATGTTTTAATATTTTCTACATCCATAGAAAAACACTTTAAACATGTCAATCATTTTGTTAATATTGTGAAGAAAAATGGTTTAGTAGTTTCACCTACTAAAATATCCCTTTTTAAAACAAGGATACGTTTTCTAGGACACTACATTCATCAAGGAACCATCATACCTATTAAAAGATCGATAATATTTTCTGAAAAATTCCCTGATGAAATCAAAGACAAAAATCAATTGCAGAGATTTCTTGGAAGTTTGAATTACATCATTGAATTCTTTCCCCGCATCAACATAATTTGCAAGCCAAGTTTGACTTTTGGAAT